CACAAACAGCCGACAGTATCACACTCCCAGTAAGGATACTACAGTCAACTTACAGACCCATGCACACTCCCAGTCAGTACCAAAGTCCACCTACAGAATCACACTCCCATTAAGCAGTAAACCTACAGACCTACACTCACAGTTAGTATACCACAGTCAGACTACAGACCAACACTTCGAATAAGTATACCACAGTCAGCCTAAAGACCAACACTCCGAATAAGAATACTACAGTCAGCCTACAGACCCCCACACCCAGTAAGTACCACATCTCAACCTACAGACTCTCACTCCCAGTAAGTAGTACCACATTCAACCTACAGACCCCCACACCCAGTAAGTACCACATCTCACCCTACAGACCCCCACTCACAGTTAGTACCATATCACACTCCCAGTAAGTACCACAAACAGCCAACAGTATCACACTCCCAGTAAGTATACTACAGTCAACTTACAGACCCATGCACACTCCCAGTCAGTAGCACAGTCAACCTAAAGACCCACACTCCGAATAAGTATACCACAGTCAGCCTACAGACCCACACACCCAGTAAGTACCACAAACAGCCAACAGTATCACAATCCAGGTAAGTATACCACAGTCAACCTAAAGACCAGCAATCACAGTTAGTACCACGTCAACCTACAGTACCACATTCCCAGTAAGTATACCACAGTCAACCTACATAATCACACTGCCAGTAAGTATACCACAGTCAACCTACAGACCCACACTCCCAGTTAGTACCATAGTCAACCTACAGAATCACACTCCCAGTAAGTACCACAGTCAACCTACAGAATCACACTCCCAGTAAATACCACAGTCAACCTAAATAATCACACTCACAATAAGTATACCACAGTCAGCCTACAGACCAACACTCCCAGTTAGTACCTCAGTCAACCTACAGAATAACACTCCCAGTAAGTACCACAGTCAACCTAGAGAATCACACTCCCAGTAAATACCACAGTCAACCTAAATAATCACACTCTCAATAAGTATACCACAGTCAGCCTACAGACCAACCCTCCCAGTTAGTACCACAGTCAACCTACAGAATAACCCTCCCAGTAAGTACCACAGTCAACCTACAGAATCACACTCCCAGTCAATACCACAGTCAGCCTATATAATCACACTCAGAGTTAGTATACCACAGTCAGCCTACAAACCAACACTCCCAGTTAGTACCAATGTCATCCTACAGACCAACACCCCCAGTTAGTACCACAGTCTACCTACATAATCACACTCCCAGTTAGTACCACAGTCAACCTCCCAGTAAGAATACCACAGACAACCTACAGAATCACACTCCCAGTAAATATCACAGGCAACCTACACAACCTACAGAATCACCCCCCCATTAAGTACCACAGTCAACCTACAGAATCACACTCCCATTAAGGAACTACAGTCAACCTACAGAATCACACTCCCAGTAAATACCACAGTCAACCTACAGACCCACACTCACAGTTAGTACCACATTCAACCTACAGAATCACACTCCCAGTAAGTACACCACTGTCAGCCTACAGACCCACACTCCCAGTAAGTATACCACAGACAGCCTACAGAACCACACTCCCAGTAAGTACCGCAAACAGCCAACAGTATCACAATCCCAGTAAGTATACTACAGTAAACCTACAGACGTACACTCCCAGTCAGTACCAAAGTCAACATAAAGACCCACAATCCCTGTCAGTACCACAGTCAACCTACAGACCCACTCTCCCAGTCAGTACCAAAGTCAACCTAAAGACCCACACTCCCAGTCTCCCATTAAGTATACCACAGTCAACCTACAGACCCACACTCCCAAGTATACCACAGTCAACCTACAGACCCACACTTCCAGTAAGTGTACCACAGTCAGCCTACAGACTAACACTTCCAGTAAGTAAACCACAGTCAACCTACAGACCCACACTAACAGTTACTACCACAGACCGACTACAGTAAGTATACCACAGACAGCCTACATAACCACCCTCCCAGTAAGTACCACAGTCAGCCTAAAGAATCACACTCCCAGTAAGTACCACAGTCAACCTACAGACCAACACTCCCAGTAAGTTTAACACAGTCAACCTACAGACCCACACTCAAGTCAGCCTACAGACCCATACTCCCAGTAAGTACCACAAACGGCCAACAGTATCACAATCCCAGTATGTATACCATAGTCAACCTACAGACCCACACTCACAGTTACTACCACAGGCCGACTACAGACCAACACTCCGAATAAGTATACCACAGTCAGCCTACAGACCAACACTCCCTATACCACAGTCAGCCTACAGACCCACACTCCCAGTAAGTATACCACAGACAACCTACAGAATCACACTCCCAGTCAATACCACAGTCAACCTCCCAGTAAGTATGCCACAGACAACCTACATAATCACACTTCGCCTACAGACCCACACTCCCAGTAAGTAGACCACAGTCAGCCTACTGACCAACACTCCCATTAAGTATACCACAGTCAACCTACAATCACACTCCCAGTAAGTATACCACAGACAACCTACAGAATCACACTCCCAGTCAATACCAGCCTACAGACCAACACTCCCAGTAAGTTTAACACAGTCAACCTACAGACCCACACTCACAGTTACTACCACAGACCGACTACAGACCAACAATCCGAATAAGTATACCACAGTCAGCCTACAGACTAACACTTCCAGTAAGTATACCACAGTCAATCTACAGACCCACACTCACAGTCAGTACCAAAGTCAACCTAAAGACCCACACTCCCAGGAAGTACCACAGTCAACCTACAGACCCACTCTCCCAGTCAGTACCACAGTCAACCTAAAGACCCACACTCCCAGTAAATACCACAGTCAACATAAATAATCACACTCACAATAAGTATACCACAGTCAACCTACATAATACTCACAGTTACTACCACAGACCGACTACAGTAAGTATACCACAGACAGCCTACATAAACACACTCCCAGTAAGTACCACAGTCAGCCTACAGACCCAGTCTCCCAGTAAGTACCACAGTCAACCTAAAGAATCACACTACCAGTAAGTACCACAGTCAACCTACAGCCCCACACTCACAGTTACTACCACAGACCGACTACAGACCAACAATCCGAATAAGTATACCACAGTCAGCCTACAGACCAACACTCCCTATACCACAGTCAGCCTACAGACCCACACTCCCAGTAAGTATACTACAGTCAACCTACAGACCCACAGTACCACAGTCAACCTAAAGACGCACCCTCCCAGTAAGTATACCCCAGTCAACCCACATAATCACACTCCCAGTAAATACCACATTCAACCTATATAATCACACTCCCAGTAAGTACACCACAGTCAGCCTACAGACCCACACTCCCAGTAAGTAGACCACAGTCAGCCTACTGACCAACACTCCCATTAAGTATACCACAGTCAACCTACAATCACACTCCCAGTAAGTATACCACAGTCAGCCTACAGTAAGTACCACAAACAGCCAACAGTATCACACTCCCAGTAAGTATACTACAGTCAACCTACAGACCCACAGTACCACAGTCAACCTAAAGACGCACCCTCCCAGTAAGTATACCCCAGTCAACCCACATAATCACACTCCCAGTAAATACCACATTCAACCTATGTAATCACACTCCCAGTAAGTACACCACAGTCAGCCTACAGACACACACTCCCAGTAAGTATACCACAGACAACCTACATAATCACACTTCGAGTAAGTATAGTAAGTATACCACAGTCAACCTACAGCCCCACACTCACAGTTACTACCACAGACCGACTACAGTAAGTATACCACAGACAGCCTACATAACCACCATACTCCCAGTAAGTACCACAAACAGCCAAGACCAACACTCCGAGTAAGTATACCACAGTCAACCTACAGCCCCACACTCACAGTTACTACCACAGACCGACTACAGTAAGTATACCACAGACAGCCTACATAACCACACTCCCATTAAGTACCACAGTCAGCCTAAAGAATCACGCTACCAGTAAGTACCACAGTCAACCTACAGCCCCACACTCACAGTTACTACCACAGACCGACTACAGTAAGTATACCACAGACAGCCTACAGAACCACACTCCCAGTAAGTACCGCAAACAGCCAACAGTATCACAATCCCAGTAAGTACCACAGTCAACCTACAGAATCACACTCGTACCAGTCAACCTACAGACCCACACTCCCAGTAAGTATACCACAGACAGCCTACATAACCACACTCCCAGTAAGTACCACAGTCAGCCTAAAGAATCACACTACCAGTAAGTACCACAGTCAACCTACAGAATCACACTCTCAGTAAATACCACAGTCAACCTATATAATCACACTCACAATAAGTATACCACAGTCAACCTACATAATCACACTCCCAGTTAGTACCACAGTCAACCTCCCAGTAAGTATACCACAGACAACCTACAGAATCACACTCCCAGTCAATACCACAGTCAACCTCCCAGTAAGTATACCACAGACAACCTACATAATCACACTTCGAGTAAGTATACCATAGTCAACCTACAGATTAACATGTCAACCTACAGAATCACACTCCCAGTCAATACCACAGTCAACCTATATAATCACACTCACAGTAAGTATACCACAGTCAGCCTACAGACCAACGCTCCCAGTTAGTACCAAAGTCATCCTACAGACCAACACTCCCAGTTAGTACCACAGTCAACCTACATAATCACACTCCCAGTTAGTACCACAGTCAACCTACATAATCTCACTCCCAGTTAGTACCACAGTCAACCTCCCAGTAAGTATACAAGTATCACAGTCAACCTTCATAATCACAATCCCAGTAAGTACCATATTCAACCTACAGAATCACACTCCCAGTAAGAATCACAGTCAACCTTCATAATCACACTCCCAGTCAGTACCAAAGTCAACCTCAAGACCCACACTCCCAGTAAGTACCACAGTCAACCTACAGACCCACACTCCCAGTAGGTACCACAGTCAACCTACAGACCCACACTCCCAGTAGGTACCACAGTCAACCTACAGACCCACACTCCCAGTAAGTATACCACAGACAGCCTACAGAACCACACTCCCAGTAAGTACCGCAAACAGCCAACAGTATCACATTCCCAATAAGTCCCACAGTCAACCTACAGAATCACCCCCCCCATTAAGTACCACAGTCAACCTACAGAATCACACTCCCATTAAGGAACTATAGTCAACCTACAGAATCACACTCCCAGTAAGTATCACAGTCAACCTTCATAATCACACTCCCAGTCAGTACCAAAGTCAACATAATGACCCACAATCCCTGTCAGTACCACAGTCAACCTACAGACCCACACTCCCAGTCAGTACCAAAGTCAACCTAAAGACCTACACTCCCAGTAAGTACCACAGTCAACCTACAGACCCACACTCACAGTTACTACCACAGCCCGACTATAGACCAACACTCCGAATAAGTATACCACAGTCAGCCTACAGACCAACACCCCGAGTAAGTATACCACAGTCAACCTACAGACCCACACTCACAGTTAGTACCACATTCAACCTACAGAATCACACTCCCAGTAAGTACCACAGTCAACCTACAGAATCACACTCTCAGTAAATACCACAGTCAACCTATATAATCACACTCACAATAATTATACCACAGTCAGCCTACAGATCAACACTCCCAGTTAGTACCACAGTCAACCTACAGAATAACACTTCCAGTAAGTACCACAGTCAACCTACAAAATCACACTCCAAGTTAGTACCACAGTCAACCTCCCAGTAAGTATACCACAGACAACCTACATAATCACTCTTCGAGTAAGTATACCATAGTCAACCTACAGAATAACATTCCCAATAAGTAACACAGTCAACCTACAGAATCACACTCCCAGTCAATACCACAGTCAACCTCCCAGTAAGTATACCACAGTCAACCTACAGACCCACACTCCAAGTAAGTATACCACAGTCAGCCTACAGAACAACACTCCCAGTAAGTATACCACAGTCAACCTACATGATCACACTCCCAGTAAATACCACAGTCAACCTATATAATCACACTCACAGTAAGTATACCACAGTCAGCCTACAGACCAACACTCCGAGTAAGTATACCACAGTCAACCTACAGACCCACACTCCCAGTAGGTACCACAGTCAACCTACAGACCCACACTCCCAGTGTAAGTATACCATAGTCAACCTACAGATTAACATGTCAACCTACAGAATCACACTCCCAGTCAATACCACAGTCAACCTCCCAGTAAGTATACCACAGACAACCTACATAATCACACTTCGAGTAAGTATACCAGAGTCAACCTACAGAATAACATTCCCAATAAGTACCACAGTCAACCTACAGAATCACACTCCCAGTCAATACCACAGTCAACCTCCCAGTAAGTATACCACAGACAACCTACATAATCACTCTTCGAGTAAGTATACCATAGTCAACCTACAGAATAACATTCCCAATAAGTAACACAGTCAACCTACAGAATCACACTCCCAGTCAATACCACAGTCAACCTCCCAGTAAGTATACCACAGTCAACCTACAGACCCACACTCCAAGTAAGTATACCACAGTCAGCCTACAGACCCACACTCCCAGTAAGTATACCACAGACAGCCTACAGAACCACACTCCCAGTAAGTACCACAGTCTGCCTAAAGAATCACACTACCAGTAAGTACCACAGTCAGCCTACAGAATCACACTCCCACTAAGTATACCATAGTCAACCTACAGAATTACATTCCCAATAAGTTACACAGTCAACCTACAGAATCGCACTCCCAGTTAGTACCACAGTCAACCTACAGAATCACACTCCCATTTAGTACCACAGTCAACCTCCCAGTAAGTATACCACAGTCAACCTACAGAATCACACTCCCAGTAAATATCACAGGCAACCTACAGAATCACATTCCCATTAAGTACCACAGTCAACCTACAGAATCATACTCCCAATAAGTACCACAGTCAACCTACAGAATCACACTCCATTAAGGAACTACAGTCAACCTACAGATTCACACTCCCAATTAATATCACAGTCAACCTTCATAATCACACTCCCAGTAAGTACCATAT